TAGGGAACTACATAGTAGGCGAGCATGCTCACTGAAGTAGAGGGGCGGAGTTACAGAACATTCCTGAAACACATGCTGTGTGAGCATGCTCCCTGAAGCATTAGGGGAAAGAGTTACAGAACATTCCTGAAACATATGCTGTGCGCATGCTCACTGAGGCAGAGGGGCGGAGTTACAGAACATTCCTGAAAAAGGAGGAAGGAACATTCCTGTGAAGGGCAGAGCTGAAAACATTCCTGAGAAGGTAGGAAGTTGCAACAGTCAGAAGACATTATTATTATTGTTGTTGTTATTTGTTTATTTATTTTTTTGGTACTGGGGATGAACTCTTGTCCTTGCACTTGAGAGGCAGGCGGAACCACTGAGCTAAATCCCTGCCCAGTCAGAAAACATTTTAACCTGGAGCAGGAGCACTCTTAGCAGCATAAACTGCTACACTTCTGAAACAAAACATTTTGTGGAAAGAACAAAAAACAAAAACAAGGGGGCCGGGCAAGGGCCTGTCTTATTGTGACATACTGCTCCGTCGATCTGACTCAGGAGGTGGACCCAGGCCCTGGAAGTAGGGGGAGCACCCTCCCCTCTCTCCTAGCCGTTTCCTTGGTTACCAGACTTCTGGGCTGCAGTCCCAGGAGTGGCTCCAGACGGGGCCCACCCTGCCTCCTCCAGCCTCCCCTGAGCCACCTGCTGCCTCTCTGTGTCCTTAGTACCCCTGTCTGACCCAAATTAGACTGTGCGTAGGGCTGGCTAGGAAAGGCATCAGTCCCCTCCCCACGCCCCTCAGGAACTGTCCCTGACACAGTCCTACTCACCTCTTTCAGGTGGGTAGTTTCCTTATCTACCATATCCGGTTTTCATGTGCATTTCATGCTACTTAACTCTGCTTTATCGCTGCACCTCCATTTCGCATCCCCAGTGCGGGAGACAGAGACAGAGACGGAGCCCTCTGTTCCCACCCTACCACACACACTAGACCTTCGCTCTGCCCGCACCCCCCTACCTAGTTGTGGGTGTGGATCTTCACAGTGGGACGATAACTGCTCCTCATGCTCTGCTCACCTACAGTTCCACGATGGCCTTTCCCTTCATTACTCAGCATGGCAGCACTTGGACACATAAATATTTATTTTCTCCCAAAGTAATAATTACTGACCTTGGGAAGTTTACAGAGGGAGCTGTGAAAATGTTCACAACTATAATTCAACGGTTATAAATTTTTAAATGGCTGTAATAAAAGTTTTTAATTTTTACTGCCATAAAAATTTGCCATCATTAAAATCTCAAAGTACACTTTAATCATAACAAGGGCCCAGCATTTATTCCTTAATAAGTAGACTTTGCTGTACCGCCACCTGTATTATCTGCCACAAATCTGGAATCAGAAGGAAAATGATGTGCTTCTTGTTTTCCGCCTTTGCATAAACACTGGGAACCCATGAGAGTCTCCGCTACCAGAGACCCTGGCTGGTGACTCCAGGCCCAGCCCAGCCCGCCGCATGCACCGGGGCCTCCCCGGCTGTCGTGTGTGGTAGGAGGTTACAGTCAGTCCTTGAAGATCAAGGCAGAATTGAGCAATGCCTGAGAGAATCTGTGTGGGTAGGGGACACACACTTTCTCACCTACCGAGAGAGAGGCTTGGGAACGGAGTTGAGTGAGGTGCCTCGGGCTGTCACTTTCACTCTGCTGAGTGCATTTTGTTCCTTCTGGGAAGTTTTCAAGAAGCAGATTTATTTTTTAAAAAATAAGGGTAGTGATAAGTACTTTCTATTCTGGTTTCCAGTCTGTTATAGATGCTATACTACAAACTTTTAACATTGTTGGACCTTATTGCTAGGAAAAAGGTGTTATGAGCATTTCTGGCCTTTGGCTGAAATTATTTTTCTCCACCATTCATGATTTCTTAAATATATTAGTTGCTAAGGGTGAAGGGAGAGGAGACATAATTGAATCCAGTCTGCCCTCTCTGCCATTTGGTGGAGCTCCACGCTGCAACACCATTCCCTTCTGTCTTCCTAGAGGCCTGTATGGATTTCACTCTGCCTGACTTTTCTCAGGATTTGAATTCTTAGACTGCGTCCAACACTGCAAACCCGAGTGGGTGGCTTAACAGACTGTAGTTAGTATACCACTCACTGGAGTTGTCCATGAAAATACTACACTCCCATATGATATTCTTTTTGCATTGGTAATCGTTTTGGAGGCAAACATAATGGAAATGAAATTGGGCTGTCTTAGCCTTTTACAGCTTATCATGCCTGGATACTTGGCTGTATGAATAGATTCTTTTATCAGTGTTTCTGCTTCTCATTGCAAAGAGTTTGGGCAAAATAAATGGCAAATACTCTTAACTTTAGCAAAAAAACACAACCCCAATTATTAAATAAGCAAAGCACTTAAACAGATAATTTATGAAGGAAGAAATGCAATTGGCCATAAACATTTTACAAAATATTTTTTTCTCAAAACTGCTAGATGAAAAGTTCTAACATGTCAAAATGTCAATGATATGTTATATAGATTATTTAGTATTATGAATCATTCATCTCTTCATTAAAGATATTTCCTCTGTAGGTTATAGTATGCTCTGTGTTAAATGCTGTGAACGCAGCAGAACCAACAAATTTTCGCAAATGGCCTTCTAGGCCAGTAAGGGATTTGTAAATTAGGAGATCCGTGTGTTTGTGTGGTTACAACATTGGGTAGTAATCATCACCTGAGAACATAGTGATGCATCAAGTATGGAGGGGAAGAGGAATTTAAATAAGGGAATCTAGGAAGGACGCTCTTATCCCAGCTCTTATTCCACCTCAAGACGCCTGTGGGTCAGGAGGATGTTCAGTCGGAAGAGAAGTTTCAGGACCAGGATCTGAGAAGGTTTGAAGGACAGCAAAGAAACCTGTACAGCTAGAACACAACCTAAGCAAGCAAGTGGTTTCTTTGCGAAATACTCACTAAGATGGATTCGTGGAAGTAAAATATGCCCAGCACTTTAACAGTGTTGCTTCATTCTGGTTACAAGAGTGTTTTATTTGAGGTTAGAGTAATGTTGCCTATATGTATGTCCAAGGGCGTTATTTATAATAGTGATAGACTAAACATGTCAATGTGTAAAACTGAAATGGTTAAATAAATTTGGTATATAAATGCAATGGAATATGACATAGTCATTTAGGCAGTGACGTGGAAGGAGAGTGTTTATGACTAACTAATAAGTAAAAGTGAGAATACAGCACTGTAAATGAATGCCTTCATTTAATTGATGTGCGTTGAATGCTTGGAGCATGACTCTGTGCACATAAAAAGAAACAGCCATGGAAACAGTACTGTTTAACTGTGAGTGGAGCAATAATAAATTAATTTTATTTTTTCTATTTTTAAATTTCTGGGGAGAATATTAATTTAATAATATAAAACAACTTTTAAAGAACAGCATTGCTATAAAATCAAACTGATATGTGGTCAGCTTTCTAACTTTACTGAAGAATTCATGACATGCATGATGATGCTTCTAAGTTATAATGTGAGTTCTCTGTCAACAATGTCTTTCACACCGTTACCGGAGCACCTCTGACCAGGGCTGCCTGCCCTTGCAGTTCACATCTGAAAGTGGAAGTTTTCATGTCATCTCCCCTTGTAAGCAGCATGGGATGTGAGTAGGAGAGTGGGGATACTGAGGCTGGAGGGCCCGGATGAGAAAACGGGCTTTTTGCAAGATAAATCCCCAAGTAAGAGTTGCTCTGGGCTGCGGGTGTGCCTCTGTGTTAGAGACCTTGTCCAGCCTGTCCTAGGCCTAGGGGCCGATCCTCGGCAGTGCCAACAACAACAAAGCAAACTGAAGAAAGCCCTGCTCTCACTTTACCACAGCTGCTACACACCCGGGTTCACTGAAGCCCTTCCCGGGGTTACCAAATACTCCTGCAGAGGGAGCCGCAAGTGAGCTCTCTTCGTGCTGTGAACTCTGGAGTTGGACAAATGTGTAATTGCGCATGTCCACCATCGTAGGACCATGCAGAGTGTTCCCACTGCCCTTCCCTTCCTCTGGGCTCTGCCTCTCATGCCTTCCCCTGACCCTGGGTGATCACGGCTCCTTCTGCTGCCTCCATGGAATGCCAAGCAGGTGGAATCACATGGTTATGTAACCTTTCTCAGACTTAGTAATAATATTTAAGGGTGTTCCATGTTTTCATAACTTGATAGCTCAGGAATTTATACAGCTGAATGATATTCCACTTTTTGAATGTACTGTGGTTTATTTATGCATTCACCTACTGAAGGGCATCTTAGCTTGCTCCTAGTTTTGGCAGCTGTGAATAAAGCTGATGTAAACAGCCAGAAATGGATGTTGGTGTGGACATAGTTGTGAGTGAATGTTTGTATGTATGTATGTTGGATTTTGCCAAGTGCTTTTTCTGAATCCATCGACAAGATCTTATGATTGTTTAACTTGCTGATGTGTGTTATATCAGTTGATTTTCAAATGTTGAACCAGCTAGGAAGCTCGGGATAAGTCCCACTTGGTTGTGATATATAAATATTTTTATGCATTTTCTGATTCAGTTTATTGGTGTTTTGTTGAGGATTTTGGCATCTGTTAAGGAGGGAACTGGTCTGTAACTTGTTTTTCTTGTAATGACTTTATCTGGCTCTGGTATTAGGATCTTGCTGGCCTTAGAGAATGCGCTAAAAATATTCAAACTGCTTCTGTATTTTGAAAGAAAATGTGAACCAATAAACATAGTGGGGTGACCAGAGGGGTAGGGAAAGGCAGCTGGGGCCTTGCTGTCTCGAGGTCTGTGGAACACATTTACACACTCAAGAGTCTCTATAGTTATTGAATGTATTTTTTGAAATAATTCTCATTTTCTCTTTGGTTCACCAGGGCTGTATCAACCTGAAACTATTTCTGGGTCAGTTTCCCAGCCAGGACTAAAGTGAAGTTTATAATCTGTTTTGTATTTTAATGGTTTAGGTATAATGTCACTTTTCTCTTCTTCACGTAGGCTGGAGCCAATGTCCTCCTCCAGGACGTGAATGGAAACATCCCGTTAGATTATGCTGTGGAAGGGACTGAATCCAGCTCTATCCTGTTGACCTATCTGGATGAAAATGGTATGCAGAAGCTTTGTGAAAAAAATGTAGAAGAAATAAGTTGATAGAACTGTAAATTTATATGAACTTTTCTAGCTCTGCTGAAATGATTTCAATGGATTTTGTTTCTCTTGAGGGTATAAAATAACTTATATTTCTCTTCCGTTTTTCAGTACTTTTACTATATGGTTGGTTTTATCAATGTAGTTTTTTGCAAAAGCCAGCCAAAATCTAGAGGCCAGCCATGCAAGAGCATTTTCACAGGCATCTGAAGTCCGTGATCAGTAGGATTGGGCTTGTGACCATGGTCTGTTCTCCCCAGGAGGGGCAGGGAGTGAGCCAGCACACTTGAATTTGAGCTAATGAGCGGGAGGCTGGCTTGAGTGTATTCTCCCTGGAGTCCTTGGTGCTGTGAACATGCAAGAGACGACTTAGGTCGAGGGCAAACGCTGTCATGCGGTGAGGCCGAGCCGCAGTGTGTCACTGAGGAGGACATGAAACACACACATGGAGGAACGAGTCTTTTCTGAGACTGCGCAGTGATGGGAAGGAGGGGCAGGAAAGTAAAGAATCGAAGAATCAGCCATTGAGACGTAGGCTGCTGTGAATGCGGATGTGCAGGGGTCGCAGTGATGTGGCATCTGGGACTGTGGGAAGACGCCTCGAAGGGGAACACCTGGGTCAAGTGGAATTTTACTCTTCTGAGGGAACTCCACACTGATTTCCATTACTGGGGCACTGGTTTACATCCCCTCCAATGGCGTGGGAGGGTTCCTTTGGCCCCACAGCCTGGCCTGCCTTTGTAATTATTTGATTTGTTGTGGTGGCCTTTCTTTCTGGGATAGAGTCTCAGTGTTGTTCTACCTTGCATTTCTCTAATGGCCAGTGATGTTGAACATGTTTTCATATTTTTTTTGAACATTTATACTTCTTCTGAGGTGTATCTGTTCATTTTAGTTGCCTGTTGTTTTATTAGGTCTATTTGCGGGATCTAATTTTTGAGTTTTGTGTATTTCTAGATATCCTCAGTCTGAGGAGTAGCTGGAAAGATTTTTTCCCATTTTGTAGGTTGTCTCTTCACTCTGTTCATTGGTGTCTTTGCTGTGCAGAAGCTTTTTGGATATGGTTATTTCTTGTGCAACTTGGCCTCTGTTCAGAAAGTCCTTGCCTATGCCTATGTCTTCAAGATCTTTACCTATTTTTTCTACCAGCAGATTAAGTGTTTTTGTTGTAACATTTTTATCATTGATTCATTCTGCATGGTTTCTCTGAAATGAGAAGTCCAAAAAAAAAGATAATAATAAAGAACAAAATCAAAGAGAGATAATAGGAAACAGGGACATAGATCTTTTGCAAATGAGTTAGGGATGAAGAGATGGAGGGAGGAGAGGGTATGGGATAGGATGTGTCATTTATATGCACCAACTCTACACAATGAATCCTAATGAACTGCAAACATTTATTAATAATAGAAAAATAGAAATCGGAAAAAAAATAAGACCCACTTTCCATGTAGAAAAAGGAAATACTCAAAGAAACCAGGCCCTCCTGTTTGCTGCTGTTTCCCTGTAACTCACCCGGAAGGCCCAGTCCTTCCAGAGCAGCCCTGGACAGAGGAAGTCCACAGTGTCCTTGGGCTGTCCAGGGCTGGTGATGCCCCGTCTTGCTTCCGGCGCTGCCGTGTCTTCTCTGTGCCCTTGCCTCCTGCAGTTCACTGATTCTGGGAGGCTTATTTCAGGAGGGTGTGGGTACTGACCGGAGCTCCACAGCCTGATTCTAAGTCCCGTCACTTCGGAAAACAAGGTAGGAATGGCTGACTCCGTGCAGGAAGGCACGAGCTCCCTGTGCTGAAGGCTATTGAGGGTGCGGGGTCCGGCAGAGGCAGGCTGGGGTGCTGGGGCCCAGGTGCTGCCCACCGCACAGCCCTCAGGCCCCGTCCCTCCTTAGGGTAGCGGTGCAGTTGCCGTCTTCAGTCCTGGGGGCTGCGCCTCGCCAGAGCAGATTCAATCCCGTTAAGTCTAAAGAGAGTGAGTTTGAGAAAGAGCGTGGTTGTGTTGGTGCGACAGTTAACAATGCTATATGGCTATATACTTCTTCTATTTCTGGTGATGGTACTGGGGACTGGAGCCAGGGCATTTGCACTGACCTGCATCCCCAGCCCTTTATTTTTTTGTTTGTTTTGAGACAGGGTCTAGCTAAATTGCCCAGGCTGAGCTTGAAATTGCAGTCCTCCTGCCTCAGCTTCCCAGAGTCCTGGGAATACAGCCATGTACCACCACTCCTGGCTTATGCGCTCAATGATTTTAAGAGTATTCTTTTGTGACGTGTTAGCATAACCAAATCAATAATAATAATGATAAATAAAGTGGGAGGAAACATTGTGGTGTAGGCTGTGCTTACATTTTCACAGCTGTAGACTTGCCTGGAAATTCATTAACTTCTACAGGGTTTGTATGTTATTTTAGCCAGATAACATGATTTTAAAAAGGATAAAATAAAAACCTCCAATGAATGCCAGTTGTTTTTAAGGGAGAAAAAAACCTTTTCTGTATTTGTGCTTAGTGATGTCAGTGTAATTATTTCCTGCCATCTTATTCTGAATTGGTAAAAGCGACCGTAATCTGTATCTCTTCTCAGGAAATAAAATCAAATGTCTCTCTTTGCAAAAGCGTTATGGTTATCATCACTCTGTAAGCCTTTTCAGTTCACCGAAGTACCCAAGTACCGTGATGGGAATCTCGGCATCCGCAGTATCAATGTTGTCTGAATAACAATAAGCGTATTCCTCAGGGAGTTTGATTTAAACAATTGGGAAGGAGAGGTTCAGGAGGCCCAACTTGGCTCCGGATGGGGAGAAGAAAATATGGCTGTCAGGGTCAGTTTGTGAAATGCAAGTTTGCCGGAGCAAACTCAGTTTCTTCCCACGCGGGGTTTCGTTCTGTTTCCCACTTGCCCGCTGCTGCCCTCCCGCGTGCCCCCGTCCATCTCCCTGCCACAGGCTGGCTTCCGTCATCTCCCTCCTGCTTGTCACTCTGTCTCCCAGCTCCCAGGAAACACTGTCTAATTCGATCTGCTCTCCAGCCTGCTCCTCACACTCGCGGAGTTAACACGACCCGTGTCTGTAGACATTTCTAATACTCTGCGAGGAGGTTTCTATGATCTGACTCTGCGTTCCCGCACCACCTCATTATAACCAGGTGATCTCAGGGCTTGAACATTGGGGACTCTGTGGTGTAGAGAGAATGATGCTCGTCTCACGGTCACATCTGGGTGCAGGTGGCAGGAGGCGGGGTGCGGCCTCCTGAACAAGCTGATTACATGGAAAATCGCCAGGCACAGGTTCTAATTGTGCTGTCAGCACCGACATGCACGGTCAACTTGGGAATAGCAGTTAACCTCGACTCGCTGCCTGGGCTTCCTGGGCCAAGAAACCAGTCGTGCATGGGGCTGACTCAGTGAATGCTGGGCGTCCTGGGCCAGGCATGCAAGTGTGGGAAAGAAAAACAGTGAAGGCCCCAGGGACGCAGGCACCAGGGAGGTCTGAGGAGGTCAGGGCAAGAGATCAGCGTTGAATATGTGTTTCCCTGTCCCCAGGAAATGCAGAGCTTCCACGGCCTTGCGCTCGTGCTCCCTGCTGTCTGCTCCCGCATGTCGTGGGGTGCACTTTCTTGGCACCCCTTCCGTCCTGCCCACCTCACTCTCCAATCCTGCTGTTACTGCCGTAGCTAAGACCCTGTTCTTCCTATTTTAGGGTAGAGCTGCTGCCTCCCAGTCTAGGCACTGTGCCCCATCAGCCCTACATGGCTGAGTTCATAGATCGCCTGTCTTTCTTCTGCTTTGTGAAGCTAGTTTGGGATCTGTTCCTGCCACAGGCTGTCGAGGGGTCACCCACAGCCAGGTGACAGCACATCCCCATCTGCACAGGATGGCCCTTGGCTCTGCCAGGCTTGGTGCAGGGAGCAGGTAGACCACGCAACTCTGCTGGAACCACTGTTCTGCATCTGCCTGTCCAACCTTATTGCTTCCTTGAGTCTCCTAGGAAGTTTGCATGGAGACCAGAGCATGGGGAAAGTGCTATTCTGTGAGTTATGAAATCTAGTGCTCAAATCACGGCATCACTTGTATATCCTAGTGAATTAGAATGCCCCCTCTATCCTGTCTCCTAGCTCTTCTATTTTTTCCTTCCTTCCCTGGGAATTGAACCCAGGACCTTCACACTGAGCTGCATCCCCAGCCCTTCTTTTGTTGTTTGTTTTCATTTTTTATTTTGAGGCAAGGTCTGACTGGTTTGCCTGTGCTGGGCTTGAACTTGTGATCCTCTGTCTGGGCCTTCAAGGTAGCCTGGAATCCCAGCTAGCATTGCTTCTGTTTGGAAAGTAAAAATGTATTTCATGTATACCCAAATAATGACGCCATACGTATGGTGCTGAATAAAACTTAGGCATGTGCAGATCTTACAGAAACACTAAGGGGAGAAAATATAACTTGCCCTAAATCTGCTACAGTGCCACACCCTTGAGTAAGGGGCTGTGACATCTGGGGCCAAAGTGGGATGGGTGACAGGCAGAGTGAGCAGCTCGGGTAGAGGTGGGGGCTTGGGGTGGCTATGGAAGGGCTGTCATAAGGTCCTCCTCTGCCGGCATTTCCACAGCAGTACACTTCTGCAGAATTGTGCTGGCATTCGCTGACCGCCTCGGAGAGCCCCAGGAGAACAGCAAGCTGGATTGACCCCACCAAAGTTCCTTAGAAAGAATGGTTACAAGAAGTTGAGATAAGGTTGTCTGACTGTGATATTGATATAATAAGTGTCTGTTCTTGTCAAATGTAACCAGTCGGTAGTAATAGTACCCAATAGAACACCTTGCGAGTTTCGGGTAAATTCTTTTTTTTCTTAATTCCTAAATTAAAAGAAATACCAGATTCATCTCCCAATAATGAATCTAAGCAGGGCTCATGCTGATAACTTTCTGGAAAATATATGGAAATAAAGCCGAGTCTCTTGGGAAATGAGAACTGGCCCATCTGTTGCAACACGGCCGATGGCGCACCCACTCAGGAGCAGCTCGCAAACCTGACGACCACAGAGAGAGGACTTCTGTTGCATTATCGCCAAAGTCATATCTATGTTTCTTTCCTAAGCAAATAATGGAAATTGAAAAATGTATGGTCCCAAGGCTTGACCCAGAGTGTCTGCACCAAGTTATATTCCTGTCACTTTTAAGTTTCTTATTTTGTGACAGAGTCTCACCAAATTGCTAAGCTCTCTAGGCCTGGCTCAAACGTGTGATACTTCTCCCTCCACCTCCCAGAGCCCCGGGCTTCAGGAATGCAGTGCCATGTCTGGCTAAAAACTGCATCTTGATGGGATGAGGATTTAGCTTAGTGGTTCTGCCGCCTGCTTCACAATTGCAAAGTTCTGAGTTCGATTCCTGGTACCAAACGAACAAAAAAATGCATCTTGATTTAAATCATATTTGATTCAGTATTGCTTTAGATTAATAGTGTACAAATTCATAATGTTTTCCTGTGGTGTCCTTATAACAGAGATCAAAGTAGATTTTTTCCCACACTGTTATATACCATGATGAGTGCTCAGTGCGTGGTATTTTAATTTGTGTCTTTCATCTTTGAGCTGTTATATTTTTTCATTAAATTTTAATTACATGCGTAAATAATTTTTGAATGATAAATATAACTTGTGAACACTGCAACATTAGGAAATTTAATAAAATAATGTAACCTTAAGATTCTTCTGCTGCTTTGGGTGTAAAATTAAATAATAACATTCAGGAAAAAACATTTTCCAAGATTAAATCACATGTCAAATCCTATAATCCTGAAAATGAAAAAACAGTGACATATTTGGTTGGTTCCTAACAGAACTCAGATGGCTCAGGATTCAGAAGTTGAAGGCGAGTGAGTTTCTAGTTCATTTTTCTAAATATAGCCTAGCTTTTCACAGCGTATGTGAGATTCACACATGGTTCAGAAATTTATTTTGCTTTATTTGATGTCCTGACCTCATCATTGCCAAGAAGGGACTCCTCATCAATGGCATGCACTCAACATGCCAGAGGCTGTTAATAGCCACTGCTCGCTCCTCTACAGCACTTACTGCAGCCGTGAGCCACTTTGTATTTGTTTTAACTCCTTCTGCTATCTTTTGGTGAGACAGGGGCACTCACAGCTCTGTTTTGCAGAGGAAGACCTAAGTGGTGGGCTCCTGCACCTCCCAGGTTCAGAATAGGCCCTAGTGAGCAGGTGTGGAGAGTCAGGAGAGGCTGAGGGCACAGAAGCCCCGGGCTTGAGACGGGCTCTTCCCCTGAGAGCGGTCTTAAGTCCGTGAATGGTAGCATTGCCACTTTGGGCTCCAAGTTCTTATCCAACGTGCCGGGGATGCTGCAACCCAGACAGGTGAAAGGACTGCCCCAAAGTTGGCCAGCGGGCGCAGACCTCAGGGGGGCACATCAGGAGCCTCACGCAGGATTGTGCATGGGTCCGCATGCGAAGCTTCCAGTCCGGGTCTGCAGCAAGGACTCACTCCAGTTCTCAGGGGGAGGCTGCTCACAGCAGATGCTCGTGAGAGGGAGAGTCTGTCTGCACCGTCACCACAGCTATCGGCTTCACTTCGACTGCAGCCCCATGGCCACCAACATCCTCACCACGATCCCCCTCCTCATCGCCACCTTCGCCCCATCCCTGTGCCACTGACATCATCACCATTATAACCTCTGTGCCACCGGCCTGTCATCATCATTAGCATCGCCATCACCACCACTGTCCCCGTCCACTGTGACCACCACCGCCATCATCATCCTCATCTCCGGGCCGGTCCCCACCTTCACTCCGTCCTCACCTCCATCCCCAGCAGCTGCCCCCACCATCACCACCCTGCTCATCGTCAGTGTCATTGCTGTCCTCTCATTTACACTGGGGAGTGGTGGAATTATTTCTCTTCAGTGAGTATCGATTTTGTCAGGGCACAGGAGATTGCTGAGTGGAGAGAGAGTCACTTACGGTGCCGTGAATTTCACGTTCAGAAGCTGCTGATGGGGGTGTGAGCAGGAAGTAAATAGACCTGAGCTTCCTGTCATGCACGACGGCCCTACTGGCTCCGGAGGGTCTGACTCAGTGTTCATTGTGTTCAGTAAGGTGAATCATCAGAAAGGGTCTGGCTGGAGCGTGCCTTTGAACAGTTACTTAGAGTTCATATGAGGTGTGTGGGAAACTCACAGACAGCGCCAAGGGTTCCTAGGTACCATTTGTGGAGCTTGCTCTCATGCCAACATCACATAGCTATGGTGTATTCCTCGAATCTAAGACATTAACTAATTTAATGCAGATGTTATTCATATTTTTGCCAGTTTTTCTATTGAAGTCTTTTTTTTTAATTCTAGGATACTATATTGCTTTTAGGAGTAACTATTTGGGCCAGAAAAGTCTTCAAGAATAAAAATCATACCTGTTCAACTTTTAAAAAATCCAGTTTAAATACTTTAAAATACTTCAGGCAGTGTATTTTGATAGTTTATATTAAAACATATTTCTGGAGAGTCCGCCATGTTTGAGGCATCCCTTCCTGGCTCTGAGATGTAGCAAGTGATGAATTTTCCTTCCTATAAAGACTATAATCTAGTTAGAAATAGAATGCATGTAGAAGGAAGAATTTGCAGGTCTGGAACTCAAGTGCAGATGGGAAAGGGGGCTTCAAAACTGCTCTGGCAAAGAATAGCTGCTGCACAGAGCTCCTCTCCAGCAGCATCTCTGCTTTGGTCCTGAAAGTTTCTTTCTCCCCAGGAGTGGACCCGACCTCACTGCGGCAGTTGAAGCTTCAGAGACCCATGAGTATGTTAGCCGATGTCAAGCGCTTCCTGTCATCGGGAGGAAATGTTAACGAGAAAAATGAGGAAGGGGTCACTCTGGTGAGTTCACATCCTTGACTCAAGGGTTGTCTCGAGTCATCTCTAAAAGGTAGATCTGAGTATAATTCACAATGAAATAGCTCCGGATTTTTTTTGATGATAAAAAGCAATACATATTCATTACAGGAATTTTGGAAAACAAAATCCATAGAAAACAAAGTGCGAAATACTTATACCTCCCTGTATATATGTTTATGTATTTCCTCCAGTTCTTTCTATGTATGTTTTTCCTACAGATTTAAAATAACTTCTGTGCATTATTTTGTCATTGTGGGTTCTGCAATGTAACTTAGAGGAAAGGCTTTCATTTTAGTTTTAAGCAAAACAAACTGGGTTCCTTTTGAAATTAATTCAGTTAAAAGATTCTAGTAAATTCCTGTCATGACATTGATGTTACTCTTCGGGACCAATTATACTACATTAAAAATAGGTCAGTTCAACTTGCCTTATTGACCTATAACACGTACAATTAATCACAGCAGGAAGAAATGCAGCAAGCCCCAGAGGGCAAAGCACTGAGAGAAAGTGAGGTGGGTGCAGGAGTGGGTTTGGATCTGTGCCGTGGGCTGTGTGGCCTGCGCGGGACGGGGGTGTCAGTGTCTCAATGGTGTGAGGCCTGACAGCAGAAGGACCAAGCTGAGAGCCCAGCACTTCTGTCAGAGCAAAGTTTCCATGACACACTTTCAAATTTCTCAGGTGGAGATTCACTACCTGGGAATCTCTAGGTAGAATCTCTTCCCAAATACTGATCTTCAAAAACTTAAATTTAATGGAGTATTTTATATTTAACATAGCATTTTACAATTTTATAATTGTATAAAATTTATAATTTTAAATTTATAAAATGTTATGGTCTTCTAAACTTAGTCTGCCAGATTCAGTATTTGTGAATTTATAAACTTCAGAAACCACAATTATAAGAATGCAACTGTAAGTCCTAAGAAAAGAACGCAAGGCATGATGGGAATGCACTGGGAAAGGCCTGATCAAGTGGTGAAGAAGCATTGTAACTAACTCACTGAAGGCTTTTGTTGGGAATGAAATGCAGTAGGGAACTGTAGCATGGAGATCCCTTGTCACAGTGTCACATTTCAGTTAGGAAGACAGGTAATGTACACTATAAATGAACAAGTCTAGTATTTTAGTAATAATAAATGCGAAGGAAAACATAAGAAAGTGAGGCTGGAGTGAGCTCACAGCATAGAGTCATAACTGGAAGGAGAGAGGGCACTAACCCTATGCTATGAGGAATGGCCCCAGCCAGGGGTGCCAGGTGCAAATGCCCTGAGGCACGAGTGAGCATAGATGGCCCAGTAAACAGGGAGAGAGGAGGAGCCAGGGCCAGACTACACAGCCTCTTGTGGGCCTCTGAGGACCATGATCGTTCCTCATGAGTGAGGTGGAAAGACATCAGAAGTTTCTGAGACAGGAAAGAGACCTCATTTTTAAAAGGATCACTCACCATGGCTGTTGTGTAGAGAATGGAAGGCATACGGGGCAGTGGGAAGCTAGGAAGACAGGGAGGTGGTTTTTCCAGCCATCTAGTGTATTAGTAAGCTTTCTCATTGCTGGGACACATTGTCAGTGCCTACAGCTTAAAGGAGGGGAGGTTTCATTCAGCTCATGTTTTCAGGAGATTCAGTCCATGGTCAGCTGGCTCCAGAGCAGGACCATCGTGGCAGAAGAGCCTGGGGGAGCAAAACTGCTCAGCTCAAGATGGCTGGGAAGCAGAGCAGAGGACAGCGCCAAAGAGGAAGGGGCAAGAGCCAGACATAGACCTATGATCACAAATCCATGATGCACACAGACACACAGGAGTGTGCTTGACTAATCCACTCTGTGGCTTCCTAGCCAATCATATTGACAGTTAAGCTTCACCGTTACATCTAGGGAGTCCTGATGTGGCTCAGACACTGGAGATGGGCTGGAGGGGGAGCAATAAAATTAAGGATATTTTATGAAAAGACTCAAGGAAGCTTCCTGATGGATGTGAGGTAGGAGATAAAGAGAAGACTTCTAAATGACTCCAAGTACTTTCGACTTAGACTACCAGTGTGAAGGAGTTGACATCAAAGGGCATAAAGAAGGCTGACAAGAAAGCAGGCGCAGGGCATGGGATATCAGATCCACTTTGGAAAGGTCAAGTGGCCTCTTGGCCACTGTAAGGGTGCGGGTGAGTTTGTGGTTGGGTATAGGAGTCTGAAATTCAGGGAAGGTCTGGACTAAAGAATAGTTTTGGGAACGGGAGCACACTCATGATACATACATCCTTGATCCTGGAGGACTCCTGGTAAAGCAGGGGGATGAGGGAGAAGAGGCAAATCCAGAATGAGAGAAAGAGAAGCAGGTGCTAAGGCATGAAGGAAACCAAGAGAATGAAGAACTAGAAACCTGGGGCATGCCATGGAGAGGACGGATGGCTTCGTGTATTGCTGAGAGAGCAAGCAATTCGCAATTGGAAATTAGATTTGGACTTAGTAACTGGGAGGTGGTTATTTGTGCTTGGGAGAGAGTTTCAGTGGATTGGTAGGATTAGAAGCTGATTGGTGTGAGCTGCTTTCACGTACTGTGTGAAATAAATGAATGCTTGACTTGCAGTAGAGGTACAGTGGAGCCTTTGTTCTGTACACTAGAAAATATAGCAACTTCCTGTTGTTTAAAAACTCAAGGCTAAATGCAAGTAACTTACATGCATCAAAAACTGATAATACACTTGTAGGCTTCAGTGGAGAAGCTTCTGCAGGAACCAGTGCAAAGCAGTAAATTGCTATCTTTTTTAGTGATCTTCAATTTTGACATTTCTTCTGAGCTTCATTTTTTTACTGAATGGAGAGCATAAAAGTTGTAAATGATTGTTTTATGATAGCTGCATCTTGTGGTGATCATCTGTGAGCTTTTAACAAGACAGTAACAATGAACCAAAGCTAGGAATAGTCTCTTGAAGATCACAGCATTAAACAAGCAGCAGTTAGGTTTGATTCTTACCTCTGAATTGTGTCTACTTACGTTAATGAGCATAATAGCTGTAATTTTCCTTAATTTTAGGTATATAGCCATATCATACTTTCTACTTTGAGGAATAAAGATTGGAAAATATTGTACTTTTATTTGCCTATTGATTGCCGACTTCCAGGTTGGATGGTCAGAAGTGGCTCAAAATTAGGTGTAATTTCTTGTACTGTTAAATTATTATGTACAAAAGATGAAACTACCAACAAAAGACTTGGGATCAGCTTCTAGCAAAGTGGTTTTATTTTTTTTTCTCCTTTATTAGAATATCCAGCTAAATAACCAAATATAATACAAATCTTTCTGAAAAGATCTTTTAGTTTATACTAATATTCTTCTGAAATATAAATAAAAGCCTCAGAAAAGGAAGTAATTTTTACAGTACTATATACCATAGCATATTAAAATGAATTCCTGAGTTTGAGCACATAAATTCTCTTTAAAATATCACTGTATATACATACTACTAAGACATGACTCTTTACTGTTGGATCACAGAATCTGATGTCTCCCATCTGGCTGTCGACAGTCATTAACTGAGCTTGTTGGGAAATAATGACCCAGGAAATGCAACTATTAAGCACTTTTATGGTGCCCCTTCTTTATTTCTGTAGTGCTGGTTCATTCCTTACTTCTGAGTGTTTAGCCAGTCTTACCAATTTTGTTTTCAATTTTAGGACATTATAACTTCATGGTCACTGTCTCAAAACATAATCTCAATTCAGAGATTATGGTGTCTGCTTCAATAAAATCCTGGAAATTCTCACCTTAAGCCAAGGTCATTGATCTTTGTGATCCCTGCTAGCCTTTGACCATGGGGGTGGGTAGCCCACATCACCCTTCTCAGGACAATGTGATAGAAAAGGTGCTCAGAATTGCAAAGCGAACCCATTATGGTGAAACATAGCAGTGGTGAAGTTAAAATTAAACCCGTGGTTCATGGTGTTTTACGCTCTATTAATGTTCTGAGCAATGGCTCTGACAATTACTATGATTTAAGGGCAGTGCTGGACACAAATGATGTTTTGAGGTGTGTTCTAGAACCATGGGTGATGTGGTCCTGGTCGGGTTTCTAGGTTCTGTTTGATGAAGAGTTGGATGTGGCATGCAATGGTAAGGAAAAAAAGCAAAGTTTAATTTAAATGACAGTATGCTCAGAGTTAGCAGACACTAGGCAGAAAGGAAGATGGCAGAGTGCCAAAGGCCTTGGGTTTACGAATTTAAAGTGTTGTGCTGGTCTACGGCGCCCCCATTAGGTCTTCCAGAGCATGACTCCTGAATCAGGTCAGCCGCATCTACTGCGCATGTCCTTTCCCACAATTCCTTCTGTTACATTGGATGTATGAGATGCCGTCCGTATGCGAACCTTCAGTGATCTCCAAGGGTATAAAGCTCACAGTAGGTTGTGCTGGCAGATCTGGTACATGGGCAGGAGGTGTGGGATTTTGGAATTTTCTAGAGCAGACTCAGAGGTCTTTGTTTTTCTTCTCTCTTACTCCATACCAGGTCTTAGGACAAAGGTTGAGGGACTGACTTTGGGGCAGTGTCCCGGTTCAGATGATGGGGGAGCGGTCCCATAGGCCCAGTGGTACTATCTATATTAATGTATATGAGAATATCATGGGTTTATTTTTATTATGATTTGCTGCCCTTGCTCATCATTAAATAATTTAAGTTCTAGTTAGTGCCTAGAAAAGAAATAAAAGAACCATTTTTCCATTGGAGCTTGCCAAGCTCCCAGATTTCACCCGTGCATACTCTGGAGGTCATGGCCCAGTTGTTAGGGTCTCTCATTTTAGCTCAATCTTAACTTCAGCCTGGCCCAGCATCATACCTGACTGGGGGATGCACAGAAGGGAGACTGGGCATGGTCAGCTCTGTCCCTCCTGTCACGTGTCTTCTTGTGAGTTCCTTCACCTCATCACACTGAGGCTGTTGGGAGAAAGAGGAAGGCGCAGAGGAACTGATGGGTGAGAGGGAGAGCAGTGGAT